AGTGTTGCTTCTCACCCACTCTATTTCTTTTTTTATTTTTAATTGGTTATGGATATTCGTCGGGTACAAAGCTGGCCATCACCACTTGTGCCGAAAATGTGATGGCCAGATCAATACTATCACCATGCACACTACCACAAATTCTGATTACTCCCCATGTCCAACACCCAATTAATCCTTAACCTCTCTCCCCAACCCACTCCTGAACCCTAGGTGTGTTCTCTCCCTCTGCAAGTCCAACACACCACTGTGGTCTTTCTTTCCTTCCTTCTTTCTCTCATAGCTCCCACTTATGAGTGAGGAAATGTGGTATTTTAAATGCTGTGCATGGCTTATTTCACTCAACATAATTTTTCTCCACCCTATTTCTTCATCTATGGTCAGAATTGCCTTGTGAATACTTTGTCTGAAGCTCTTATGTTGCCTCAGTCACCCTCAGTTCTATCCCCCCCACCACTCCCACTCCCTCTTGCAACCCCTCACATTACTGCATTTCAGCTTGGCATTTTCAGTTCTGTGGGGCAATACAGCCAGTTCAAGCACCAATTCAGAAACTCTGGGAAAAGACTTATGAAATAGTACATGTCATCAATAACCATTGCTAACACTAACCAAATTCATTCATTTTATAATATTTATTGAGCATCTATAGAATTCAGATTGTCCTGGGTGTCTGGGATACAGCAGTGGGGAAAAAAAGACAGAAAGCCTCACCCCCAAAGAGCTCAGATCCAGGATAGCAAAATTTATCAGATCATGTTCTGTGTCCACACATAAAATAGACTCACAGATTCAGACTCATAATTTAGAAGAGCAAGAATTGAATGACAGAATTGCCACCCTCTGTGTATGCAATGCTGAACAGCTTCCCGTGATGTACAATATGGCAGAACCAGTGGACAATTAACAAAAATTAGCAAAGACAGCTGGCCTAAAAACATTGACCAACATCCCCACTAATGTTTTCTAGTTTTTTATTAACTCACCCTAGCATTTGGAAATTCTCCCATCTTTTGTTCGTATGGAGTTGCAGTCAATTTCTCTCCCTATTGCAATCGTCTTTATTTACTGGAAATTCTCCCATCTTTTGTTTGTATGGAGTTGCAGTCAATTTCTCTCCCTATTGCAATCGTCTTTATTTACTTATTTTTGTAATAGATTTTTTATATAGCAGTTTTAGGTATACAAAAATTGAGCAAAAAGTACAGACCATTCACATACCCCCGACTCACCCACACCCTCACGCAAGAGTTTCTCCTATTATTAACATCTTGCTTCGGTGTGGTACATTTATTAAAATAAGAAACAATATTAATACATTATTAACTAAACTTTACATTAGTGTTCCCTCTTTGTGCTGTACAGTTCTATGGTTTTGCCCAATGCATAATGTCATGTATTCACCCTTGCACTATCATACAGAACAGTTTCACTGCCTTAAAAATCCTCTGTGCTCCACCTGCTCATCCATCTTTCCCTCATTCCCTCCTCCCCTGAACACAGGTAACCACTGATCTTTTTTTATATATATTACCTCAAGTAGTAATTTCTTTGTATTGAGAACATTAAAAATACTGTCTTCTAAAATAAATTTTTTTTTCCTTTTTGTCTTTTTTCGTGTCCGGCAATGGACCGCAACCCTCAGTGTCGCGCCCGCACCGGACCGGGACCGGCAACGGGATCGCAACCCTCGGTGCTGCGCCTGCCCCTCGCTCAGCCAGTGAGCGGGAACCGGTCTGTATGTGGGATCCGAACCCTCGGCGGGAGCGCCACCGCGCTTTCAAGCGGCGCACTGTAGCAGTGCGCCACCGGGCCGGCCCTAAAATAAAATTTTTAAAAAAATACTCTTCTTCTAGCTAATTGAAATTATACAATAAATTGTTGTTAATTATAGTCTCCCTACAGTGCCATAGAGCACTAGATCTTATTCCTCCTATCTAGCTGTAATTTTGTATCTATTATCCAACCTCTCAGTATCCTCTTGCCCCACTATCCTCCCCAGCCTCTGGTAACCATCATTCTACTCCCTACTGCTATGTGATCAACTTTCTTAGCTTCCACATATTAGTGAAAACGTGGTATTTCTCTTCCTGTTCCTGGCTTACTTCACTTAACATAACATCCTCCAGACTCTTCCATATTGCCACAAATGGCTGGATTTCATTCTTTTTATAGCTGAATAGTGTTCCATTGTGTATTTACACCACATTTTGTTTGCCATTCATCTCTCGATGTACACTTGGTTGATTCCTTATCTTGGATACTGTGAATAGTACAATAGTCTCCAATAAAGTCTTCCTTGTCTACTTGACTCATCAGGTGCAATTTTTATTTGACACAGTCAAGACTTTCCAGACTTTATAACCAATTCCTACCAAACATTATTTTGTTCTGGGCCCAATATCTTCCTTATTTAAGTGAATAATATAATATCCCACAAAGGACTTTGGACTGGAAGATGACCGAACTCACTTTGTGGGTGACCTGCATAAATTTAATTTGGAAAAGATTAGCTGAGGCATCCCAGTTGTCCCTTAGAATGCTCAGAACTTGTGAGTTCATTCAGAAGGTAACAACAGTAGAAGAGGAATAAGGAGACTACGTCGATGGAGAAAACATCAAGGATATTTAGATGGGGTCATGGAAGGCATCATTAAGTGCTGTTATTTAAGTTGAAAGCTGAATAAGAAAAGAGAGAACATTCTAGGCATAGAGAATAAAGTGTAATTGCCTAGAGGCTTAAAATAACATGGCCTGTTTGAAGAACTACAAGAAAGCCAATAGGTTTAGACAAGTGGTTCTCAAACTTAGCATCCATCATAATCACCTGGAGGGCAAGTTAAACCACGGGTAGCTTGGTTCCAGTGGCTGAGGTTTGGATGTGGCAGGTCTGGGGTAGGGCCCAACTTTGCATCTATAAGCTCTCTAGGGAGCAGTTAATAGCAGAGATAGCTGGAAAGAGGAAAGACTAAATAATGAAGAGTCGTATAGACCCTGGCATAGAGTATAAAGTTTAATTTTAGGAATATAAAGTTTAATTTTTGGAATAGCAGAAATGATTGGAGGGTTTTAAGCAGAGATGTCATGTTTTAATTACATCTAAAAAAAACAAATCTGGATGCCTGAGGAGAAACTGAATATGGAGAAATAATTTAGGAAACATTTTCATGAGTGGAAATAAAATGTTAAGATGAAATGTTTCTGAAGCATAGGAAAAAAGAATCAGATAACTGACACAGGCAAGTTTAGATAATGTTAATTGTTTTGACATTAGGAAAAAGGAAAAGAGGGTCTGAAATGACAAAATGTGGAGGGCCGCAGTGACCTGGAAGAGAGTTTATCTACCTGAAAATTTGAACAGATATATGCTTGTGAATTTTGACTGTAGAAACAAGAAGAGGAGTAAATCGTGTTTCTTCCAGCATGAAATTTATCTATCTTGTCTATCTCTTTATTGTATGGGACAGACTTTGGAATGTTCCTCAGTTCTTCAGAAAACTTCCCTTCCAAAAGGTCAGAAATATGCACAGTGTTAAACACTGTGGTCATCAGATGCTCGATTTCTTCAAAATATAGTGAACAGTGGAATCACGGGATCCTTGGTCAAACTTGTAATAGAATTAGGGGAGGATGGGATAGGTGCTTATGATTGGACCACAGGCTTCAGGAATTTGAAGTATGCTGCACATGCAGATACATATGTTACCTTATTGTTTTGAACTTAACGCTCTCTATGATACATATGTTACCTTATTGTTTTGAACGTAACGCTCTGGCCCTATCAGACCAGAGCTGGTAGTTGATCCTAATGAGATGACTCAGGATGTGGGTTGGTCAAGACTGAAATACCAATTATGTGACCATACTGTTGGGGTCTTCAGGCTATAGGATATCAGCTTGACATGTTGAGGAAATAGGAAATTGTGTTCAGTCACATAGAGAATAATTCAATCATGCCAATGCAATGGAATCTCAATAAGAGTTCTGGAAACCAAAGCTCAGATGAGTTGCCCTGGTTGGAAATACTCTTTGAGTATGGTTACACATTGTATCCAGGAGGAGGTAATGTGTCTGGACTGCATGAGGAGTGGACAGCCAGAAGCTTCATGTTTGGATCCTCTCAGATTGTACCCTATGTGTATCTTCCTTTAACTGGTTCTAATTTGAATCCTCTTCCTATACTAAACTGTAATAATAAGTATAGCACTTTCCTGAGCTCTTTGAGTCATTCTAGCAAATTATCACACCTGAGAGTGTCTGTGGGGACTCCTAAATTTGTAACAAGATGTTCTGAAGTGAGAGTGGCCCTGAGGACCACCAAACGTGAAGCATGTCTGAAGTAAGGACAGTCTTCTGAGGACTGTTCTCTCAGATTTTGCAATTGGACAAACTCTTTGTCAGAGAGAAGGGCAGAGGAAAAAACTGAGCCAAGTGGCAATCCATCAAAACCTTTGAAAACATCCAGGGAGCTCTACAGCTGGGATGGCCTCTTGGAGTTGTCTGTAATTGGGGTAGAGGTGTCAAGACTTTATACCCCACATCAGTCAGTCATTGGACATGGGCTGCTGCAGGAAGGAGGCATGACATTGGGTAAGGTGGCTCTCTGCAGCTGATGCTGAGCCCACAGGAACTGATTTCGGAGGGCTGAGCAGTACCTCCAACATTGGGAGCAACATGTCTCTCATTCCTGATTGGAGGTTTTTTAAATTATGTTGAAATACAAATCACATAGAATATCTGAAACATCTGTAAGTGTAGAGCTCAGTGACATTAAATAAATTCACCGTTTTGTCCAACCATCACCACCATCCATCCCCAGAACTCTTTTTATCTTGCAGAAGTGAAAATCTTTACCCATTAAACACTAATTCCCCATTCCCCCTACATCTAGACCCTGGAATCCACCCTTCTACTTTCTCTCTGTATGATTTCAATCCACCTAGGTACTTCAGAAAACTGGAATTGTACAATGTCCACTTGGTTCAGACATCAGTGATGCTTCAAGGGCAAGAGGCTGCTCTGCTGAAGAGTCTTCCCAGTGCTCTCTTCAGATCCTTTTTCCTCAGGCTGTAAATGAAGGGGTTCAGCATGGGGGTGACCACAGTGTACATCACTGAGGTGATTAATCTTCTCTGAGAAGAATGGGTCAAAGCATAACCGACATAGTCCCCAAGGCCTGTCCCATAGTACAAGGATGCAATAGAGAGTTGAGACCCACAGGTGTAAAATGCTTTATACTTGCCTGCAATGGAGGACATCTTCATTAAAGAGGAGACTATATGGTAGTAATAGAAGAGGATCCCAATGACAGGAAACACCCACAGCCGTGCAGCTGCAACATACAAGAAGAGGTTATTAATGAGGGTATCAGAGCAGGCCACCTTGAGAAGCTGAGCCAGGTTGCAGAAGAAATGCAGAATCTTTGTACCTGTAGAGAAGGTCAGCCTCTTCATCAGTAGAATTTGAAGAAGGGAAGCCCAGCAAATGATGAACCAAGACATCAGAAACAACAAGGCACAGAGGTGGGAGATCATGATGACTGTATAGTGCAGGGGGTGACAGATGGCCACAAAGCAGTCATACACCATTACAGTCAGTAAGAAATTATCCACTCCAGCAAAAAACATTAAAAAATACATCTGGACAAGGCACCCTATGTAGGAGATGTCTTTTCTCTGTGCCCGGATGTTCACCAGCATCTTTGAAACTGTGGTAGAGATGAAACAGATGCCAACAAACGACAGTTTGGAGAGGAAGAAGTACATGGGGATGTGGAGGTGGGAGTCACAGGTGATGGCCAGGATGATGAGCAGGTTCCCGAGTACCATGAACAGGTACATAGGCAGGAACAGTCCAAAAAGAAGACGATGAAGGTCAGAATTTTCTGAGAAGCCAAAGAGGAGGAATTCTGATAGTTCTGTATGGTTTTCTGCTTCCATGTAGCTGGTGCATCTGCTGTCAAAGGAGGAAAAGCAACGTCCAATGAACAGCCAACTAAAACCTTAGCTAGTTATCACTTTACAATGTCTCCCTTGGCTGGACATCTTTCAACCTGTATGGAGTCCTTTGAAGAACACTGATCCACTCATCCAAGTTGTAGCCCATTTCCATTTAAATGAGTAAAATTATTTTGTCTGTTTTTGATTTAGCTGAAATTTCTCTCTAACTTCTACTAACTGGATCAAATTTTCTTTTTTGAATCTGTGGTCACAAACTAATTTCTTTTATATGACATTTCTAAAGTAATTTAAAACATCTCATGTCTTTTTCTTTATAATACCCATACTACCGTCATTATAATAGCTCTACAGTAGTGGTAAAGACGTACATTTTCAATTCAACCAACATTTATTCTGTGACCTGATGCTTCCTGTTGATGTGACGGTTAACTCCTATTGCCTTATTCCCTTGTTCCAAAAATCTGGTTATTACCATGACTTTCTGTGTGTTTAAAAATGCCTTTCTGACAGTAGACAAAAAGAAATAATTACAATCAGAGCAGAACTAAATGAAATAGAGACCCAAAAAAACAATAGAAAGATAAACAAACCTAAAAGTTGGTTTTTTGAGAAGATAAAATAGACACACTATTAGTTAGATTAACAAAAAAAAAGAAGACTCTATTCGATATATTTGACTATTTGACAATAATCAGAAATGAAAAGGGAGACATTACTACTGACACCACAGAAATACAAAGAACCATTAGAGACTATTATACAAAACTGTATGACAACAAATATGAAAATCTGGAAGATATGTGTAAGTTTCTAGACACATAAAAATTACCAAGATTGCACCAAGAAGACATAGAAAACCTGAACAGATCAATAACAAGCAAGGAGATTGAAGTGGTAAT